CACGAGCGGGTTTCGGGTTCAAGTCCTAGTAGGTACGTTTACCTACGAATATTTGGAAGTATCTGCCGTGGGAAGTCAAGTGAATACAGATCTGGATTAGGAATTTCTGGAAGGAGGTCCATTGTGGAGTAGTTGGCACTAATTATTTTTGATTATTTAATTGATGATCCATCACTCAACAAAAGAATTTTCTATATTAAAATATGACGCAGATTACATATAACGAGATCCAAATTGAAATTTTCAGGTTATAAGTGAAGTCAAAATTTTTTTAACCAAATACCGTAATAAAGTAGTACAAATGATAGAGAGACACCATGAGGTTTTGATTATAAAATTATTAAGCGTTAACCTTTTTTTTTGACAAACTTTACTTTGGATCAACGTGGCATTCACTATGATAAACCTCGTATTATTTAGATTATTAATATTTTTAATTTCAAAACTCAAACTAACAAAATCGCTTTTGCACAATACTCCTATTAGATCCGATCTTGATTCATTAGTTTTAACTTCACTATTAGTTACGGGTATTGCATAATAGTAAATAAGCATTTATGTTCTTGGTTTGTAAGCTTAACTAACTTTAGCTTATATTTATAGGCTGATTGCGCAATGTAAATATAACTTACATTTCAATACTCTTTTCTTGCGCTTATAATATATTTGAAAGGCAGCCGGTAAAAATTCAATTAGGAATAACTCAAGTAACCAACATTATAACAATTTACAGGATCTTTTATAGGGCTTTCTAAACGAAACAATGAATGGGGAAAAGGAGGATTTGCAATCACAAATCAGGTTCATATAGGCGTTCAATACATATCTGAGTGGCGATAGCTCAATTGGTAAGTCAATAAGCTTGTCTTATAGCTTGACATGTATTGGACACCTATATAAACCCGATTTGTATCCTAAAGGTCTCTCTTCTACTTGTGCCAAATATCTGTTACAAATCAAGTTCATATTGGGGTTGCATGATGCCTGTTAGAGCCTGATTTGCCTTAATTCGGCCTATGCAATTTGAAGGGCATGATGTAGCAGTAAGCAAGTATTTATATTCTTGGTTTGGACTTGGCTTACTGATTTTAATTCCGACTAGTTAATGAATGTTTTTTATAATACAGATAATTAGTGTGAACTAGATAATTTGATAAATAGTAAGCAAGCATCAATGTTCTTGATTTGTGGATTTGACTTACTAACTTTAATTTACAGAGTATAATGTACTGATAAATTGGTTATACATTAGAATTAGAATTAGAAAATATATATAGTACATATTAGAGTATGTAAAAATATAATAATAAATAAATAATTTTTTTATTATAATTTTATTACCAAAATTAGGCTTTGTATAAATTACACTTCAATCAGGGAATTTTCCATATTTTAGCACTTAAATTAGTTCTAAGTTTTAAACTAATGAGTAAATGCGGGTAGTTGGTGGTTGGTTTTTAATTATTATAAAAGCATATATACAGGAGTTCTACCACAAAATCTCGAAAGCCATTTTCCTGAAAGAATATAATACTGACTAAATTGGATAGCATTATAACTAATGCCAGCTAACTTTGTCGGTATTGGGTTCTTTTAGAAATCTGTCTTTTGGGATTTTGTAATAAAACCATATTCAAGGTCCCAAACCCACCATGAGTTAGATTTAGTTGCGAATTACAGAATCCTCATTAATACAATGTGTTTTTTTCAAATAGCTAGACTATTATAAATCTTGTTTGTACTAAAGGGTTTAAAAATCATGAATAAACAAACCCGGGTCTTGTATATGCACTTCTATGATAGTAAGTGAGTTGAGTGAGTTTTAAATTAATATAATAATATAGAGCTTTAATAATTTCTAACTTACACGTACTGTATATACATCGTACGCACATACATACGTACATACATACAGGATTATAAAAATTTTTTACATTTCCATATTAGGATTTTTATTATATAATATGCGTCACTTTTATTTAATACATGTAGATCATTTTCTTCAGGTAAGTGGTGGATCATCAATTAAACTACATGTTCTTTACTGTCTACTTATGCACTTATTCGTGGGGTTTAGTAATAAATTTGGGGTATAAAAAATTTCCCGAGGAATGCTGACCAAAAAGTGTACAAGAACTAATCAAATCTGAGATCCGATACACGGATCATTCTAGAATCCGATTTCCTAATTCGGTATATCTCCTGACTGTACTGTGAATAATTTATTGGCTAACTGAGTTTTAATTTGAAATTGTTGTATATCAAATATAGTGAACATTGTGCAATTTTATTCATATTAATAAATTTGGTGCTTTCATATATGACACATTCTTTCTTAATGGCAAGATTTATAGGCAGATATTCGTATAATTGGCTGTTTAAATTAAACTAATTTTACATTATTTATACAGTTTAAAGTACTTTTTTAAAAAAAGAAAACTACAAAGAATAAATAAAAAAGAAGTATATAGAAAGTTTTATTAGGGTTGTAGAACTTCACTATTAAAAATAATCAAAATTCTTTTTAATAGTGAAGTCCTACAATGCTAATAGAACCTTCTATATACTTCTTTTTCATTTATTCTTCATAGTTTTCTTTTTTTTAAAAAGTACTTTAAACTGTATAAATAAATTGATTTAAACAGCCAATTATACGAATGTCTGTCTATGACAGCAAGATATCAAATTACAACGAACAATTTGTTAGGCAGCTATTGTTTAGCTTCTTCAGCTCATTCTAATCTACTTTTCTCATGACTTTCAGAAGGAGATATAATTGTTCGCTTATTCTTTTACTAGTTATTGGATCACCAAAAGAGTATCAATGTCTTGAATCATATGCCAACTGATTGAGCATTTAGCAAATCCGGCTAAACTAATAGAATGTAAATATAAGATAATCAGATAATTAGTAATAAAAAATATAATTTTGCCAAAGATTCATGGCATAAAGCAAAATGCTTAAACAATATCTTTTTTATTCTATTAATAAGGAGTATTGGCCAATTAATATTAACTCTGTGAAAAAAGATGGTTTGCATACGGCAATTCACTTGATCAATTTTTTCAGCCCCTAACTACAGTATTTAAAATCTTATCTCTGCATCAAAGAGAGGTAATTAATGGTTCTAAATGATCTCCATCAGATGTAAACTATTATATTATAACTTTATTCATAATTCATTAAATATTATACTCAAAATTTTTAAAAGCTAAACTTACATTCTTTCGGGTGAATCTTATTTCTTTGGTGTTCCAACAAGCCAACGTAATCTGATTTAAGTACTTGAGAACACTATATTAATTTAAAATACTTTAAAAAAAACAAAAAATTTAATTACTATTCAATTCATATTTACACCATACTTATAAAAAATTACAGTATCATCCTGGTTGAAATTATCATATTTCATTAAAGTATCCTTCGAATCTCTAAATTTCAAAAACTATATTAGACGTTGAAGTAATACTAAAAGTAACAAAAAAAAAAAAATCCAAAAACCAACTTTAAAAATTTCATTTACTATTAAATCACTTTTTTTTGTCTATACACTTCATGCAAGTAATTAAATATTACCCAGATCTCTTTTGTAATCTTAATTACTAACCTATATTAACTGTTGAAATAAACTTTTAAAAAAAAAAGCCAAAAAATTTTATAAGCCTACTTAACTGTATACTATTCTGTTATATTCTGTTATTAGGCTATTAAGAAGAATACGGTATTAGCAAAAGTCCCTCAGAAATGGGATTATATGGGATTAAATCTGCCAATCACTAGTAAAGCGAAAAACCAACATATCCTAAAAATTATTCAATTGTAGGTAACGTACTTAGCCACTTTGTCATATGAGCGATTGCATTTTTATATAGGGAGTACTCTAAAATTAATATAAATAATTGTGTAATGATCTACGTTACAGTTGTACCATATTAGCCAATCAAGAGGACTTTCCATCATGCTAATTTGGAGCATGTGCAATTTTCAGAACTCTTTTTGATGATTATTTGGTCCAAAATTCTTATGGAAGGAAAACACAAATATTGTTAGAGGGTTGTGATTTAACATAGTGGTTTGTCTAAAGATCAATATACTGTTTATGGGACTTCTCTACTAGTGATATTTGGCATACAAGCTAAGAGCATTATTATACAAGATAACTAACAGGAGGTGCTTTTGTATAAAAAATCTTAGTAGAGAAGAGGACTTTTTGGATACACCTCTTTCTCCATCAATGAAGCTTTTAGGCTGTACTAAAAAACAAAAAAATATTATGTTAATCTCTTCAAGCCACACTTTTTTTTACCTAGTTAAGTAGTTTCTTTTTACTCTTTTTTATTTTTTTGTTGGTCTTCCAAAAAATTTCAACAAAAAGTAGGGATTTGGTTTACCTCTTTCAAAAAATCAGCATTGTTTACTTCCCAAATTCAAACAGATTACAGAATGCAACTACATGTTTGTTTACAGATAAATACGGTATTTTTTTACAGAACTCGGCCTGGAAACTCTAATTATAGTAGCAGGTAGCTTGAGATACAGGTTTTTAGATATGGATTAGAATAGACAACAAAGCAATTTGGAGTTGGTATGAATATTAAAAAGTAAATTTAGGATTAAAGCAAAGCTTTATAAAGAGATATACAAATATTGCATTTGGTATATAATTTTTATTAGCTATACACAGGTTATAATAGTGCTGTCAGAGTTTTAGATTTCTTTTTATGTTTTTTCTTTTTTACAGTCAGTATTTTTTTTTTTTTTCTATTTTTCTTTTTTTCTAGTTGTTTTCATATATTCTTTGTTAAAAAATTTCCAATTTTGTCTTGTGCCTCTTGAGAAAAAAGAAGAATTAGAAGGAAAAAAAGTGATTCTGATGTGAATATAACAACCTGTCAAATGATTGAGAGGGTATCCTTTGTCAATACAAAATCTTAAGCAAGTTTCGGATCTTATTGTAAGACTAATAGTTGTTATAGCAGGTCACATTGGGCAGTACTTAGTATACTTAGTGAGTTTCTATTAGAATAGTGCACCACACTATCCTAGGTTGTTATTTGTATAATAATTCTATAGTAGTTTATAAAATAAATAGAAGCAAGATCACTTATAAAAAAAATTAATTTGAAACATATACATTGTAACACTATACTATAAGATCTTGTATAATGTGAAATTAAAGCAATAATTAATTTATTAGCTTAAAGTTAGAGTGAGAGTGCTGTAAGAGTTAGATTAAAATTAGAATAATGTATTTTAGCAAAAAAATTTTACCTCAAAATTTTTGCAAGAAATTTTTTTTTGTTAAAATATGAAAAAAGGTTTCATAAGCAAAATTTTAAGCTACAAGCGATTTTTTAAAAACATCGCTATTTTTTTGATTTTTTGCTATACCTAATCTTACAATCTGATTGGTTAATCAGATAGGTGTGTTATAGTAGGACCCTAAAGAACTTTGATACAACTTATATATTATTAAAAAAGAAAATATTTTATAAAAATTCATTAAATAGTGCATTTTTATATAGTAAATTTTTTAAAATTTGCTCTATTTTATACATCTATTTGGCTAAAATTATGCAAACTTTATACAAACTTAGATTTAAGTTGTATCAGAGATCTTTAAGTCTTGTTATAGTGTATATATACTAAATTACATAACCTTATTTATTTTTTTCAAATTATTTTTTCAACTAATATTACTTAAAGAAAGATATTTAAGAGAAGCAACTAAATTAAAGTAAATTAGTTTAAAATAAAAATTGTTTTCTTAATACTTTTATTGTACTTTTAAGACAGATTTAAATATTTGTTTTTTATATTTTTTATTTTTTTATTTTTTAAAATTTGCAATTTTGTTGGTTAGAATTTTTAAATACAAAGATTTGAATTGGCTCTCCATACTTCTACTTAAATACTACTATCAATTAAAGTTTTAAACAATAAAACTCTAAGAGAAAATATATACTAATACAAAAAATATTACCTAATTCTGTTATTCTAGTACTAATTCTAACTCTAATACTAGTATATAGTATTTGCTAACTATTTGGTTAATAAGTTATATATACTATATTAGTATTTTTCTACTTTAATTAATTTTGAAAATTGCTTTGACACATGATTATTAATATAGCTATAATTAGTATTAAATATTGTCAATACAGAATAGCTATTATTGAAGTTAGGATTAGTATTAGGGTATACAGAAAAGATTATATATATAAGGGAGATGGGGTATTGTGGACAAGGGGGGTATTGTGGTCAAGTGAGCATATCTTGCGATCTAGTAATCAGAATTAAATAATTTTTGTATCATTTGATTCATTCCAAAGAGACGAATCGAATGATGCAAAAATCATTTAATTCCAATCAAGATATCCTCACTTGACCACAATACCCCCCCTGTCCACAATACCCCCATCTCCTTTATATTACTGTATTAGTAGCAATTTTTTTTGTTTTATAAAAGTCAAGTAATTTGTATTATATAAAATATTAGAGAAACATAACAGGCTTTTATTGTAATTGGCTAATTTTTGTAAATTATCTTGTAATATAGTAAAAATTTTATTGACTAATCAAAATTAATTAAAGTTTCAAACTTTAATTTAAAAAAAAACTATTACTGTATATACAAAAATAACTAGATTTATAATAAAATTAACTAGCAGAAGTCTTAACTATAAAATCTTGATAATTTAAATTTAAAACTATAATCTTGTTACAAGTAAAACAAAAATTTTATTAAAAAAATAATTTTAATTTAGTATATTTAAAAAAAAAATAACAATAATTCAAAAATAAACTAAAAACTAAAAATATAAAATATATATTTGAACTTTTAGTAACTACTCCAATACCAAACAAATATTTAATTTTATTTACTATATAAATATTATATAGCTAAAGTACTAACTACTACTCTTCTTATGAAGTTTATAAGCCTTATTTATAACTTTATCTTCAAATTCTTAACCTATATTATAATTAGATTTTTATATTAGTTGAGATTACAAAAAATAAGCTTTTACAAAATATGTAAAAAATAGCTTAAATTGCCAAGTTTAATTAATTTATTGTATCTATATATTAAACTTAAATATTCAAACTTATCTTTTATCTAACTTCTAAATTACTTTATAAATTACCAAATTACTTTAATAGTTTATAAACCAAAAGATATTCTTTTGGTTTTTTTTAGTATTAAGTTTGGCCAATTCATATCTGTAGCTGCTAAACTATTTTTGTAACTGCAAAATATTATACTACTATATAGTACATATTGTATAATATTTTGTATTAATTATCCAATATAATAAAGCCTGCTATATTTGTTAGAAATTAGTATATATATATATATATATATTAACTAAAGCTTGAATTATTGTTAACTGAAAATAATAGCAATAAATGATATAAAATTAATCTTGAAAACTACAGATAAGTTATAATTTAATTGTTTTTTAAATTCACTTAAAAAATATAACTTAAATAAGAATAGTTATAATACTTATATAAAGTGAAGTTAATAGAAAAGAGACAAATTGTTTTTAAAGAAATTTTTTATTTTAATTAAAATATTTCAATAACTAATTAATCAAATTTGCTCAAAGTTTTTTTATTTTAATTTTGAAATTATAAAAAATTAAAATAAAAAATTATTAAATTTGATAAGATAATTGCTAAAATATTTAAGCTTAAAGTCAAAAAACCTTTTACTTAGAAAAAATTTGTCTCTTTTTTATTGACTTCACCTCATATATAAAAAAGAATATAAGAATACTAATATATAATAATTTACTTTAATAATATAATCTAATTATTAATATCATATTTCTGTAACTATATATATAATGTAACTACTGTATGATATAACAAAATATTATACTAAAACATATCTAATTCAAATATTTAATAGTAGGCTACAATTTGAGATTAGGGTCTTGTAGCCTAGTGGTCTAGATGCCTAACCCTCCACAGACGAGGTTGACAGTTCAATTATAGCTGGTGGTAATTAATTTAATTAATTATCTCTGTAACCTTTAAAAGCTTTCAAATGCAGAACCCTGTGGCGATAAGATTATGTAAGGCCTATAAAGAATTTTTAGAAGGAGCTCCGAGCTATAGAGAAGACTGGCACTGTGTGTGATATAGGTCATAAAAGGTTTACTACAAAAGGCTATGCGTATAAATTCACAATTGGCAAGGTAGAACCAACAACTCTAAGGCGGCATTGGGATCTTGATTGAGAGGATGGCTATATGCAGTATTTCCAGAAGTGGTGAAAAAAGCAGTGAACATAGTAAGGGGCTGGGGTAAAAGGATTGCTTTACCAAATATAGAACATCTCTAGCACAAAGAAACAAAAAAACTGGCTAAAAGAAATTCCAAAAAGCATAAAAGCAAGTGATC